AGTAGATCTACTCTTGCTCCTACCCAGTCTGTTTGACAGGTTCAGTGAACCGGTTTTACGAGCTTCTTTCAATAAGGATTCTGGTACAGTCCCCTCCTTACCTACCCCATCACTTTGACTAGGAGAATTGAAGAAGTTGGTATTTGGTTTGAGTCTAGTAGAACTAGCAGGAGATTTTCTACTGGCACCACGACTGGAACTCATTTTATGAATTTTGGATTAATGGGTGTGGTCTTATGTTGCATAGTTTGGGCATAGATATTAGAGTATAGATAATTTGTGACCATAATTGACAAAAGGTACCTTATGGCGGGTATGAAATGTGTCTTTATAGCCATAAAAATCCAACTTCCTGAGCTCCATTTATCATAAAATTACTCCACAGTGTGCAAAATGTTACTATGTAACTTTTAGAAACAATTTTTGTGCAATGGAGCACTCATAGGTTGATATTTTTCATTATAATGATGAACTTTAAAATCCGCCATAAGGTACCTTTTGTCAATTATGGTCACATTTACAGCCCATTTTTCCTCTTAAAATGCCATTTATTCCATTATTCTCCCTTTTCTCAAAACATGCTAAAGTAAAACTGGAAACCATTATAATCATATGAAAGGCCTTACACTTTCCAAAGTAATTATACAGGTTAGAGTCAGAATCTATGAAGTATGAGTTTGTTACAAGAGCTAAAGTGTACCGAAAATAGTTGATTTTGTTGTACCTATAACTGATTGCAACATAGCTTTACAGAGACAAAAAACTTGCTGTAGGTAGCTCTAAAAATTATATGTGCAATAGGCTATAAATCACAAGCAAGCGTTGTCCTGGAGCAACACAAGTTTCCTTCAAAATCCTTCCAGAGCAACTTCACCAACGGAGGAGATGGCAAAACACTGATGGTTGTCACGTGGTAACCCAACTAGCATTTCCTGTTGCTACGCCCCGTTTCCAATCCCTTTCATCAAGAGTGGATAATTATTTAGGGAGAGTGTCTAACCCGCCTTTCTACCATGCCTAGTTGTAATTGACCAATCAGATTGCTTGGTTGTAGGTTCATAAATAACTAACTTACCTCTGATTTCCCGGGAGGTTAATAAATAATCTCCCGGGAGGTTGAATAAGTAGCCCGGGAGGTTGAATAAGTAAATTCCCGGGAGGTTGAATAAATAATTTCCCGGTAAATTAAATAATACAATTAATTGATTACATGTGTATTTTAAATTATAGTTTTGTGTAATTTGGTATTGTTTTAATAGTTTATAGTAATATTTGAGCAATTAGAGAGGGTAAATGTAACCGTATCTGCAGTTGACCTTTTTTGCTTGGTGGTGGCTCGTAACTGTTTTCCTTATCTTCATCTAGTGCAACCTTTCGTTC